TAAATACCAGGGTTATTCAATCGATGGAGCGACAGACTCGCAACTGAGATGCCCCCGGTTTGAGCCCACCTCCCAGCGGGTCAGTCGATTTTCTTCCTTCCAAGGTTTATGAGAATTACGCCGTTGCCAGGAAAGAGGGCAGAAAAAACTATGCTTACCTCGTAACTGTAGTCGACTTTACGCTTAAAATAAGACTCTTCTGAATGCAAGTGTGTTAATGACGCTCAGCACTTCATCATGAACTTCATGAAAAAGCGGCAGCTTGTAAAGAAAATTAATATTAATTTCAAAAATAAATTACTGCACATACGAAGACATCCTAGTTTACCCAACCACATCTAATGGATGTTTACGATTAATCGACATGTACGAGCTACACTATGTACGAAATTCTACATTCAACATTAGGTCTACTCTTGGCTTAAACTTAAACAGTGGGGATAACGTATAATTTTCAAAGTAACAGTATTACATAAGCTGATATGAACGTATCGTTTAACTGCATATGTACAGAGAGGAACAGATTAGCATTGATAATGATTTATATCAAAAGAGGTATGTGTTTCTCTATGGCTGACGTTTTGATCTGCAGACCCAGACGGAAATCTGATGCTCGCGCGCGAGTAGATGCACACACACACACAAATGAGACTTCAAAGTTCGAAGTTCGACTTGCCTGTATCCAACACTAGCGATGTTGCTTGCTTCGCTAGCATCGTCTTCAGCAAACGGCGTATTCGGATGATCGAAAGAAAACTTTTCTTCGCCCTTAACCCAAGTAAGAAGTACGAGAGAACAAGTATTTCATGAACTACGCAAATATACCATCTTCAAAACTTGTTGGCTGAAATTCCGATTTATGTACATTGCTTCGATCGCCAAATTTCTGGGACTGTTAATAGTATTGCCCTCTTCTTGTGGAGGTTCAATCGCCGTCTCGCTTACGGTTGGATAGTCTAAATGGCTCAGAGATATATTTTGATTTATCCTTCAAAATAACATAAAAAGATTTCCGTCAGAACTGAGACAATTTAAAAAAAACAAAATAAGCATGTGTAAATTATTCAAAGCGTTTAGTTCGATCGTCCGTTGCGCTACAGCTCAGGACTGTTCTACGGGGTGATATAAGGCCAAGATCAATAAACTTTAGAGAAGTTTTGCACGGTGTCGGCTATCTTTCGAAAACGGACAATGTCATATTGGATTGTACGCAAGGTAGCAAGTATTGCTCCCTCTTTGAACGTCCATTAACCGTCTGCGCCGTAAAAGTTCTTACGAAGCAGTTTGAAAAAACAACTTTCCGAGACAATGAGATGCCTTCAGCCATTGTGGCTACATTTATTACGATTTTGATATTCAGCCTATATGAGCTCCTTTCAATCTCCATTAGATGGTTTCCTACAGTATTATCATGGGGTGTTGATTAAGTGATAAGTCCTGTACACTTGGGAAGCTTAGCTTTAATCAGTAGGGCATCACACGCAAAATCGAGAGATCCTTGGTTCGAGCCCCAGTCGGATCAGTCACTCCTCATCCTTCGGAAGTAGACAAATGAATACATTCTTGGGAGGAGATGTGCCATACAGTTGTCACATAGCTGCAGATATTACCTTTAACATGAGATACAACTGGATGATAGTACAAAGAGGGAGATCAATATCGCGTGAAAGGTTCATGAATAAACAAATGGCGCTCATCATGGAGGTGTAATGAAAGCCGACATCCGCGCGAGTATAAATTTCCTTTTTCTTTAGAACTGTGACATAACTCGAACCTCATAACATCAGTTCTGTGGCTGCCAAGAGACAATCCTACTATACTTTACATGCTGTCTTTAAAGATATGCCTGATGACATATTTACCTAAATCCGAAGTTGGTCGTCTGTCAAAAAATAACTTGGATCCGACACGATGGATGACGATGTCCCAACTGTAGACACTCCGTGTGCAACACATCAAACACGAAATCAGCAAGTCGGTGCCGAACACGTTGTATTCCGAACTCTTCGCAATCTAAAAGAGTAAAAGTGAATCAGTGAAAGCGTTGGCGAAAAAACAAACGCAATAACAAACAAAATGTGACGAGGTACATTAAGCTGCACAACATGATAATTAATTAACCTGCTAATTAATTTTGGCAACGTTCAGATTCAGTATTTTCATACTTCAACAAACAGTAAACTGAAACCAGTATCTAGCTGGTACATTTAACAAGCTAGGAAAATGCATTTCCATAAAAAAAACTTCAGCAGTAACAATAAATAAATATATAACACTGCCGCAAACGATGAGTACATTTTAACTGTTATCCGTTAAATTTCATCTGTTTATAAACTTCTGAATTCAAACATTTAACACCGCCAAAGAAATACAGTCATCCATAACTGTAACATCAGACGAAATTGCTGATCCGGTACAATGTCGCACTCAGAGTCTAGCAGTCTTGAGATAGACCTCCGCTAGGGTCACTCGCTTTTCTTTCTGGGAAGTTGACAAATTACTAAAACTATGTGTAAGGAACAAAAATCTACAAGCTGTTTGCCACACAGAGTTGTGACAACTCTGCATTCAAAATAAGGCACTGCTGACTGATGAAATGGAAATGGAGATCAGTGTCCCTCTATTATCGTCATGAAGAAGAAGCGTGTCACAAATGACAAATGGAACCATCATGTACATATAAGGAAGATCGAAATTCCAACGATTACCAAGTTTACTTTCACCTTTTATTCGATGTAAGCTGTATCTGCAATCGACAGAAAATGTAATGTAAAACAACAAAACATAAATATAAGCTTGAGCAATATGAACGGTACTACCGCGTTTGTCATATGTTTTAGCAGATCATTTTATGTTTTCGGTCCATGTGAAGTTGGTGTTGTCCTAAAGGTAGCGACTGACGTAGCTAGCTACAGGGATCAATACTGCTTGTTTGGCTTTGCTGACAAGATTTAGCTGTTACTGCGAGATGCCTTTTATTTTTTCTCAAAAGATTCTGTGCTGACTGGTCACAGCGCATTGAATATTAACGAATCTTTGTTACAATTCCCTTTAACAACCTCAGGTTTTTTTATCGTTCAAACTTGAACTTGCTCGCTAGAAAATGACAGTAACCTGAACTGCTTGAACACGAAAGGCCAGAAAACCACTTGCTACGATAAATTCTCTCGTCCTGTGGTTAGATTTACATCGATAAACTTGGCAACCCTATTGAAAGATTAAGCACAAAAGAACTTTAATCAGGTTGAAAAATGTAGATGACTGAGAAAAAGGTTTCTAGCAAGAATGTTCCAACAATGCCGAGACTTAGTTACAGGGGTAGGCTTAACAATAATTCAGTTTCAGTCATACCAGTAGGGTCGGATTACCACTCCAGATGGTAACATATACCACACCTATTTAAATGCGTTGGTGCATATAACTGATTTACAAGTGAAACAGGTAGGTGAAGCATGTGAGGAGGTTCACAAATTTAAGTATTGCAAGTTTACTTCATGATATGGCAACATGCACCAAGAGTTAAACAGGAGGATCTCCAGAATTTCCAATGATTCTGGAAACCTTACGCAAAGCAATACATTACTCTTCCAACGAAAATCCGCCGGTGTCTTGCTTCTATCAGGTCAGTGTGATTGTTCAAAAGAATGAGCAAGAACGACGACTGAACAATACGCAGCAGCGTTGACTTTGATGTATAATGAGGGTTACATGACAGGGCCACGTAAGGAACGACTCTGTTCTTTTCCGGGAAACATGGGACATCAGTATTCGTGAAAATTAAGAAAAGAAAATAGGCCGTTAAAAAATTTGGTTGAACATGAATTACTCATTCCAGCCCATGAGTTTCTCGAGTGGAAGCCGAACAAAAAACATGGCAACCGTTAGCAAAACAAGGTAGAGGCACATCTGCTTCTGGAGAGTAATTTTTTCTTCTACAATGCTGTAAACGGCGCCTTATAATGTCAAATAGTGTAAATATAGCGGATGTCACAAACCATCACCGTTCTGCCTATACAAACGACTCAAAGTGATGATATGAATAAACAGACATTACGACTGATCAAATACCGCTAGGCAATTGCTTGCTTAGAAGATCCTATAGGCAAAGAAAAAAGAGGAGCAGTGAAAAATGCCGTATGGTACGACTGAACATAGCCATGCATATTTATCATAATCGTATCTGCGCTACCATGTTATTTTAAATAAAATATAGTTATATAAGCATATACATGTATTATACTCATTAACACCTCAACAACTATAAAGGATTATAACATATCATATAGACACCGTCATATTCA